GACAAGATACAATGTAATTTCTTAATTATTGACGTTTTTAAAGATATAAGCTCATCCCGGTGTTACACTCATCAAGAGCTTTCATTTGAGTACCCACATGCATTTTTGATATATTTTTCATATATACATATATGTAATATATATAAATATATGAAAAATTGATGTGGGTACTCAAATGAAAGGTTTTGATGAGTGTAACATCAGGATGAGCTTATATCTTTAAAAATGTCAATGGTTCACGAGATACAAGGTCATTTCTTAATAATGTGTCTAGAGATAGAGCATTTATTTCGAATGCAGCCTAAATACTTATCATCATAAATTGACTATTGGTGAAAATAATATGAAACCTTGAAAAAGCACAACCCCAGATCAAGACTTTTCCAACGATACCAAATTTAACCATAAAAACCCAATTTATCATATAAATACACTGGTCACAAAATTTTTATTATTCTCTTAATAATTCAGATTAAAATGAAAACTTTTCAGGATTTTGCTTGGAAAGCGACGCCGAAGACTACGGCGATTCAAAAGCCAGTTCCTCAAGTATTCAAACAGACGCTCCAGACGATTATGATTCCTACGAGATAAATGAGCTGGAAGATGCCACTAGAAAGACGTATCACTGTGCAGCACGTAATTCCATCAGAAATGAAACTAATCTTGATCGAAGGGTCATTGAAGTCCTAGACGACAATGGGATCCCATCTCTCCAAGCCAAGAGGCTTCATTATCAGGTAATTTAATCAACAATCTCAATTTATAATCAGCTAATCTAATCAACTAATGTCATTGCTGTGTTATACTTTGCATGATTAAATGATTATAAATCACAGAATTAATAATATCCTTGTATCAGGTCCGCAGTGTTAGACAAAAAATGTGTCAATCTGGATTTAATCCATTCCAATTCGATAGAAAAGGCGGGTCTGTTCATAGACGATTCAAAAATACAATAAGACTGATGATTTATAATACACCTGGCATGTTCCCTGGATTGAGGCTAATCCGGAGTGATCTTGACCGAAAGAGAAAACGTGAACCGCAAAATTGGTTCCGATTTGAACTTACTAACAGTCAAATCACCGCTGATTTTGATTATGATAATTATTTTGTCACTATTTACGGTGATTTTGGGAAAGTTCATGCGTACTCTAAACTTCTTGTTACTTTGAAGATGCACAAGAGGTTGAATAACTTTAATGACAGCATCAGTAGTAAAGTAAATTTATTTTTATTTATTTAAACTTAAAAAAAAATTGAATTAATTTAAAAGAAAAAATTTTGGAACTTAAAAAAAAATTAAATTAATTGAAGAGAAAAAATTTTTAAATTTCAAAAAAAATTAAATTAATTTGAGAAAAAATTTTGAGTTAAATTTTTGAGAAAAAATTTTGACTTAAATTTTTGAATTAAGTCAAATTTTTTGTAATTAAACTAAGACCAATTTCTTAATTCAAAAATTTTTTTACTTAAATAAAAATAATTTTTTATTTGTCTAGATAAATTTAGATCTCGGGATCATGGAAGTAATTTTATCAAACTTTGGGACAACAATAATAAAAGATAAATCCTTGACAAGTGTTATGGTCAAAGCGCTGAATGGCATCCGTACAGAATTAAGTTCCGATGGAGATATTCAGATTGAGTTTGAAGACAGTGCCAAAGAAGCGCTAGATCAAATAAATCCTTTGCTTTATTCTGTTGTCTGGTTACAGTCGATGGCGGAAAAGTATGAAGTCGTAAAGGTTAGAGACAAATCTAAATCACCTGCCGAGAAAATGAAGAAATCTAATTGAACTTTATCAGCCATGATTATGATTTTAATCATTTTAATGATTATGATTAATTAAGTTCATCAATTGAGGTTCAATGCTACGTAATTTAGATTTAGAATTCTACACTGATAAAAAAATGAATTTGACTCAAGAGCCAAAATCTTGAACCAAAAATACCATTTCGAAAAAAAATGATTTTTTTTGGATTTTCTTAGACCACGAAAAATTTCTTAACTCGAGAATTTTTTCTCTTGACTCAAGAAAATCTTTTTCTTCAAAATAGTATTCTTACTTCAAGGCTTTTGCTTTTGAGTCAAGTTAATTTTTTTATCACTGTATTAAAGTCTTTATATATATCGTAAATTGATTCAGCGAAATGTATCATTTTATTGTCATCATTATTATAAAACTTTTTTGTATTCACATTTCTGTATTCATGACTTCTAGCTATTAGAGGACATAAATCTCGTAATCGAAAAAATTTATGGTATTTTATTTTAACAATCCTTCGCATAAAACTTTTTTTTTTATAATAACATTGAAAAAATTCCGATGTTAGCATAAGAATAATTTCAATGTTTCACATTATTTTTATTTTTCCGTGCAAGTAAGAAAAATTATCTAAATAAGTGTACCAATTTGTAGAATTTAATTTATTCTGCTTTTAGAATAATTTAAAAAGATGAATTTTCCAAATTGGTATTGATTTTTTTTTTTTACGTAAATAATTAACATTCTAATTTTTTTCCAATTTACATTTTTTTAGAAAAAAATTAATAGACGATAAATATTAAATTAAAGTTTTTAAAAAGTAATAATAGAAACATTTTAATTAATAATTTAATGAGCAATTTGATTTTATTATAAAAATTTAATTAAGGTAAAGTACCCAGTAGTTGAACAGGTTTCATAGTAAAACGTATTTGACCCTACTTTTAATATATAAAGATGTAATTATTAGTTCAAATTAGTGATTTTCATGAAAATATAAACAATTTTGAATTTATTGAAGCGCAAAATAACAAAGATAATTAAATATTTATGTTTTGGCAACGTTTTTAAGATAGACTATGAAAGGAGTAGTAGTTGAACAATCAGTTCTGACAAGCCGCAGTAGTTGAACACTCAAGCCGCAGTAGTTGAACTAATAAAATATATGGCAATAGGCACACCAAAATTTTTTAACGTTTAATTAAAATATTCAAAGATTTATAACATATTATTGGATAATATTAAAAATAATACTGTGGATATTTAATATGTTCATTTAAAAATGAGAAATATTTGTATTTAATTTATTAATTACATTTTTTATGAATGACAAAGTAAATTTTCAATTATAAATAAAAAAAACTCAATTCAAAACGTTCAATAGTTTTTAACTATACTAATTTTTAGTTATACAACTTATTTAATTTGCAGTAATTAATACAAATCACAATACTGATCACTAGTCTATAAACCTATTAAAGGTCAGAGTGCTGTTAAAATTATACGGTCCCAGCTTGTTCAAGTTCTGGGTACCGCTTTGAAAATTGGGAGGTATAGTTGAACGCTAAAATTTAATATAAAAATTATAGTTTATGTCTTTGCAAAAAATATGTATTATTTAGAAAAGACTATTTCATTGGGTGGTACAATTTTTTTTACTTAAAATGATGATATACTGTTTTTTTTTACTGATTGTTCTGTTTACGGTTTAGTACCTTTTTCATGAAAAAAATAGCATCTATCGGCGATTCTTGACATGTCAACTTTAAAGTTAACAAAAATGTAATTGTTTTGATTTATAATTAAAAAAACTTACCAAAATCAATTACTGTATCATTGAATAATTATAAAATGCGCATATTATTCATAATATATATACAGATTTTGTATTACAACAATTCTAAAAGTCTGCTCAACTACTGGTCCCTTTTTAGAAGTGTTTATGTACTGGGTACTTTACTTTATTCTTCAATTTTAATCATTTTTTTTTTTTTAATAATTACGAAGCCAAAAATAGTCAAAAATTTGACGGTAAAATTTGAAATTTTCCAAAAAAATTCTGACAAAAAAAAATATATAAATATGAAAATATTGATAAAATAAATGCATTTCCTGTAAAGTTATTCTCTTAAAGAACTGCCGTACCTTTTTGGTCTTAAATAAAAGTCAAAGATGATTTTTATAATTACATTATCTATACAAGCCCGAAGAGATAGTATAGTAGTAGTTAGTTCCATAAACTTAGTATTTATTCAGAAGCTTGTACGGGGAAATATTTATGTCAACTGGATCTTGAATAAATATCAATCTAGAATGCCGGTATAGTAGTAAAAGATAATAATTTATTAACGTGAGAATTTACCAGATATCGAACAGCTCCTCCTCGTCGTCATCCTCAATCCTGAATCCTTGGAGAATCCAATAAATTTAACATCGAGATGCTCGGTTATATCTAACCTGGTATGTATACTACAGTTGAAAGCTAAAAAACAAAAAAAAAAATAAACAGCAGTGACGATGCAAGCCAGCAGCATCAGCATCAGCATCAGCAGCAGCAACGGCAGCAGAAGCAGCAGCAGCTCGAGGCTAATCCGGGTGATCGATCGATTCGCTTCCCTCTTTCTGTCTCTCTTGATCTTCTTTCTCTTGCAGCAACTCGTGCGGTGGACTCGCTCATCCCGAGAATATATACCTATGTCTCGCGGCTTAGTAACTATCGTCACGGTTGGCCGGAAGACCCGTCGACTCGCTCTTCGATACGGCACATTGGAACCCAACCGAGGAAGGACAACCTCAATAAGAACAGGAGGAATCTATAGAGTTTTAACAAATAAACAAAAAGCTTCACCATTGTATCTATCGAGACGTAAGATGGAAGCTAACGGTTACAGGGGGTGGTCAAGGCTATAACACTAAAATAATCCACACAAAAGACGATTATGTATGTACCTACCTGTTAGGAAGGAACACTTTCCGTGAAAAAATTGTATGATATGGTAAAAAAATTCCTATAACATTTTTTATATCAGAATTGACCATATTAGAACATATAGCGCTCAATATGTCTTAATATAACCTCATTTTTATATAGATAGCTCGATAAGGTCATAAATGCTAATATAAACATTTTTTGAAAAATTAGTTCAAAAAATATCCAACAGGTGGCGCATGGTCGCGAAAATTTCTCGCTGTAAGAGAGTTTATTTTTGAAATATTAAGTATTTTAAAAAAATTATTGTTACTCTTACTAAAAGCTTATCTGACATTGGTTTTTAATTTAAAAATTATCTATAATATTAAAAGAATAAGAAAAATTTTGAGGCTAGTGTATTTATATGATAAAATGGGATTTTATGGTTAAATTTGGTATCATTGGAAAAGTTTTGATCTGGAGTTGTGCCTTTTCAAAGTTTCATATTATTCTCACCAATAGTCAATTTATTATGATAAGTATTTAGGCTGCATTAGAAAATGCTTTATCTCTAGAAACATAATTAAGAAATGACCTTGTATCTTGAGAATAATTGACATTTTTAAAGATATGAACTCATCCTTATGTTACACTCATCGAGACCTTTCATTTAAGTACCCACATAAATTTTTCATATAATTATATATATTATATATATGTATATATGAAAAATATATGAAATTGCATGTGGGTACTCAAATGAAAGCTTTTGATGATTTTAACATCGGGATGAGCTTATATCTTTAAAAACGTCAATATTTACGAAAGTACATTGCAATTTAACATAGTTAAGAAATAGCCTTGTATGGAGAATTATTGAGATTTTAAAAAATATAAGCTCACCCCGATGATACACTTATCAAGAGCTTTCATTTGAGTACCCACATGCATTTTTGATATATTTTTCATATATACATATATATAATATTTATAAATATATAAAAATATATGAAAAATTGATGTGGGTACTCAAATAAAAGGTCTCGATGAGTGTAACATC